TTGCATTCACTACATTCAACAGCAAAGACTTTACTCCCTTAATTTTATTTACTTATTTGTGAATGAGTATTTAACTCTGCAACACATCCTATTAATTTCAAGTTAGAAATTCACATAGTGCTACCTATCACATGAGGATATAATCTGACTCTGTAAAGGTTAAATATATAGAAATAAAAGGTCTGTTTATAGAGCAAGAAAGCTATCATGAAAGGTGCTCCTGTGAATGATCTGATTGTAGGAGTAGATACTGCACAGTTGAGAGACAGAAAGGGTTTGTCTGCATATGGAGATGGTACTTTCCAGTTCTCTGTAAATTGACGTTGCAACTTAATGTTCACTTGCTGCCTCTTGTAGACAAGTCCTGAGATAACTGTTCATATTAAAGAAACTGTTATTTCTTTAATAGGAATCTTCTATCTCACTGAAGCAGTACATTAAAGACAGATTAGAGGAAACCCCGCTAAAAGCTGCTAAACAGATGTAAACAAAAATGCCAGGGTATTTTACACACATGAGAATAATGATACAAGACTTTTCCAAGTACGATAACATCACTCCTTGTATCACACTAAATTAATAACATCTCTCAAGCACCTGCCCAAACCAGAAGTCTTTCCAAGAGACTAAGCATAACCTCTCTCATTAAATCAGCATTCAGAGGGCTAACTAGCAGATGCTGCTGACATGAACCCAAATGTAATCTCTTTAACCTTGTCCTGTGGGGAGCAGACAAGTCATGACCGAGTAATTCCAACTAAATTAGATTTTATGTGAAAGTGTATAATCTAAATTAAATTTGATTAAAATGATTCACTGATTTGTGTTTGCTTTTAAAGGCTCTAATGTAGCCAAGGTGACCAGTTTTCAGTAATCTATGTAATCAGATCAATTTATTTTTACATGATTGGATCAAGATTTTTTTATCCAGTAGATTTTTCTATATTAATCATATTTCTCTTGAATATCTCTGGATAGATTAGGTGTTTTCTATTCAGACAGAGGCTCATTGTAATTCAATTTTCATCATGTTAATGAAGAAAATGGAGAAATCTAACTGTGTGGTGAATATAAAAACGTGATGTAAAATATCGAGAAATAATTGCAAGGAGAGAATCATCAGGTCATCATCTGATCAGAGGACAACATCAAATACAAAAGGTTGAATGAGACGGGTGAATCAGAAAGGGCTAGGGGAGAGATTTCTTCTGTTTTCCTATCCCAAAGACCCTGTTTAGTGGGAGGTTTTGCTCAGCATAGACTCAGTGCAGCAATGGGAGTGGAATTCTGCAGCTGCCTGCTTGGGTAGTAATAAATTTCCTGGGCTTAACCCCTTCCCATCCCCTTCCCATCCTGGGAACTTATACAAGTGGGGTGAATCTTGGTCACTGACTTTATTAACATTTAACATCTCAATTGAATACGGCGAGTACTAGTTAGTGGCTGTACTAGCAACACTTACCATAGTCTGCAATCAACAAAAAACATATAGGTACTGATTATGTTTTACTAAATTAATTTATAAAATTAATGATAATTATATTTAGTGTATAAAGTCGGGGGTTACTGTGTGCTGAATGTAACTGTTTAAATTTCAAAGGGAAGAACACGGATCCTATGCAAAAATTCTTGTAATCTATGAAAAGCAGCAGCTGTGACCACTTTTTCAGACACTGTTTGTCTTATGATGGCTCCAGTTTTTTTCTTGGGCATCATATATTTCCACATATATTTCCAGTTTGGAGGCCCTGCTACAGATCCACAGCCCTACAGTAAACAGGAAGGCTCTAGGTCATTTTTAGAGACATAAATTTAATAGATCTGTAACTGTGCCTAGTTATGATAGTATGCTTGAAGTTTGTGCTAAGTTTTACACATATTAAAAAGTTGTAATTCAATGTGTGGAACATAAACAATAGTGAAGTCATTGGAGCCACTCTGATTTTGAAGGTGAGATACAAAAGCTCTTTGGGGAGTTAGGAAACAAGAATGGATGAGTCCAAGGAAGCTTATAATAACCCTGTTGGAGAGTGTCCAGAGGAGGGCTACGAAGATGGTGAAAGGCCTGGAGGGGAAGCCGTATGAGGAACGGCTGAGGGCACTGGGCCTGTTCAGCCTGGAGAAGAGGAGGCTGAGGGGAGGCCTCATCGCAGTCTACAACTTCCTCGTAAGGGGGTGTCGAGAGGCAGGAGACCTTTTCTCCATTAACACCAGTGACAGGACCTGCGGGAACGGGGTTAAGCTGAGGCAGGGGAAGTTTAGGCTTGACATCAGGAGGGGGTTCTTCACAGAGAGAGTGGTTGCACACTGGAACAGGCTCCCCAGGGAAGTGGTCACTGCACCGAGCCTGTCTGAATTTAAGAAGAGATTGGACTGTGCACTTAGTCACATGGTCTGAACTTTTCGGTAGACCTGTGCGGTGTCAAGAGTTGGACTTGATGATCCTTAAGGGTCCCTTCCAACTCAGGATATTCTATGATTCTATGAACCCTTTGAGAAAGAGATATCATCAAAATTTTGCGTACGACAAATGCTCTTTCACTGGATCTACACCAAAGGGTAACAAAAGTAATGAAAAGAGAACCTGCAGGTCTTAAAAGCAAACACGTAACTTTTGCACCAGACTAGTAATTTCAATTACATTCATTCAAATTCAAACTACAGGTTTATTTTGATGAAGTTTGTGACCAGCAAAAATTAAGTCCTTTGCAGAACTGTCTTAAACAATTACTAGTCATTGTTACTATAAAGAATAGCTCCTTAGTTTTCATATCTAGAAGATTGAACCCTTCACCATGATTAATAAAGTCTGGTTGTTATCTACTTTTGTCATAAAAAATGATATACAAAAGAAACAGTCCGAGAAAAACAAAGGTAAAATGCTTGCATGAACATTTGTACTGACACTGCTAATTAAAAGACTTAAGTTATTAGTCTTTAAGAGAAAAAAAAAGAAACAAACAAGTATAATTTGGTGGATTAATTTTATGTTCTGTTCTATTTAATCAAACTATACCTTTTAGTGAAAATGACAAATCTGAGTTGTCAGGCTATGGTTGATAAGAAAGATAAAGGTCATATATTTTAATGTCATAGAAGGTCTTATTAAAGGAACCCTAATTACATTAGGTATCCATGAAACATTAATTAAATACTGTCTGAAATAATTAGGTCTAAGATACTGATGGTTTAATTAAACTCAGTTTTTTATTTTATAAGAAAACTACAGGTCCGGTATCAGTCTGTTGGCAGGATAATTGATAACGTGTCAGAAGAGCAAAATAGTAACCTTGACCAGCCACATTGGAAGGACAATACAGTGAGCAGGTTGTCCTGCTAGCCACACCTTGGGGGGATTAAACACACAGTGTGATGGATTTATTTCAAAAGGTACAGAAAGCAGAAGAATAAGGAACAGAAAGTTTGGGGCTCACATTCTCAACTTGTATAAAATATCACAGCATATCAGATGGCAGTTCCTAACCTTTTAGCTCTGCTGAGATTCTTTGCAAATTTTGGTGAAGATTCTGCGTCTTATCAAGTAGAAGGACTTCTACAACATATAGAAGATGCACACCTGAAAGCCTGGTTTTACATGTCTAACACATGCCCCCAAAAGTTGCAAACCCTTCTCCTATTCCCTTATATGAGGAAAAAATAACTGTATAAACAAGCTAATGATTCCATTGCATTCAGGAGGTCCTGACAACTGCATGGTTATATATATATGTAGATAAAGCATGGCTGGTTGCAGATTAACTGGAAAAGTGCTTTCCTGATCTTTAAGAATGAAATGTCATCCCTTATCTAAATGAAGTTCATACAGAAAACAGTATCTGAGATTATCTGAAAAATGAGTACTGGGAAGGCAAGAAATATATATGGTAAATGTGTGCATGGACTAAGGCTGTGATGGCATTTTGAGGAAAAAGAGCCTCTTCCTGTCTCTGCCATGACTGGGAACATAGTCTATATGGCATTACATAGATGGACTCTGTGTCTTGCTTCTGAACACCCATTTCCAATGGTAAGAGAGAACTGAGCTCTTCTCTTCTCTTTGATTTGCCAAGCTGGTTGGCCGATCTCAGACAAGCAAACCTTCACACTTCAGTTTTTCCTCTTGTAAAACGCAGAGGAACATCATAATTTGCCTCTTAATCGTAAGGAGGACTTCCTAATGTCTACAACGGATACTTCAGCAGAATTATTATAGAAATACATCATCGATCAGAGGCAGTCTCATGCCTGCAGTGAAGAACCAACTTCTTCAAGATCAGCAATCACCAAGAGTTACAAAGACAGTTAAACAACACCATTTCTCAATATGTACACTGTCTAAATAAGAACAATGTTCCAATTAGCCTGGACAACTAACACTGGTGACATGTAGGGTACCAGATAAAGAGAATAGGATAATCTCTTTATAATTAAAACTCACATGCCTCCTAAACTTCACTTTCCACATTGAGGACTTTTTAGTTTTTAAAGGGAATGTACTTGTCACTATACAACTAAAGAGATTTAAAAAGATAAAATATCAGACTAGAAACCTCTTCTAATTTCTATTATACAGAGTAAAGCTGAACCAACAAAGGAACAACTATCTTACCCTCTTGATAAAGTTGTACCAGTTCTCATGTCCACTAAAATCAGATCATTGAAGAGATTATTATTTCAACATCAAAAATAATAAATGTTCAAAGAACCAAAATTTCATCACAACTATAATTGGGAGGATGTCATCTTTTTGCTGACTACAGTCATTGTTATTATGGCACCTGATGAATACCCATATTTTACAACAGATATGTGAATGGTTTCAACGCGCTAAGGAAATGTTAAGCTATTGACTCAATAACTAGTCCATCTCTTAATTCATTTCAAAAAGATAGCTCTACAATAAATATAGCAATTGACTTGTCAGTTGTACAGTTGTGCAAAAGGCAGGGTGTTTTATATATTGTGTATGAAAAATGTGACAGTTGTACTGGGCACTGTACCTTTCTGTTTACTGCTGCTTTCATGTCTTTCTCAAGATGTTCGTCAAACATTTCTCTTAGTCTTTCTCAGTCTTGAATCTCCTTTCATTAAAGATGAAGACTGAAATATAAAGAAAATCAATTTTTAAAATCAAATGGAATTGTTGTTTTGTTTGTTTTTTAAAGAAAGCTTTGTTCAAGTCATTCAAAAGACAAAAATGGTATTTAAAGTTTAATTCTTTTCCTCTGCAAATTCTGGATGACATTTATTCCTAATTTGTGATGTAAAATAGTCCTACATATTATGCTACCTAATTGCTCGTGCCATCTGTGTAATGCTGTCTCTACAGGAATCTGTAACCTCTCCAGGTAGAAGTATAATTTTTTAATGAAGTTTTTCATTAAATCCTATCCCTCTTACAGGTAGTGTTATAGTAACCAGTATAACAATGGTTAATGTGTAATGTTTCCAAACTATTAAAACTATAAGCATAATAAGCATACTAGGTACCAATGAGAAACATAGAAAGAACACTTTTCTTATTAGTACACCATTCAAAAAAATTCCATCATCGCCCCAGTATCAGAGTATGGGTATAAAAATGACATTTTTTTATTCCCAAATTTTTAATTTCCACTTAAATTGCCTTTTCAAATGTTTCTGAGATACTTTCTGAAACACAGAAATCTTTAATGTATTTGACAGGAATATAGTTGTGTAAATACCACTCAATAAGCATTACATGTCTACCAAAGAGGTTGCAATCTTATGCACGTACACCCACACGTATATTGAAGGTATTTAAAGGTCATTGTTTGTCTGCAGACAGGACACAGACAAAGCAGACAGAGGCACTGAAAAGAGTCCAGGATTTGGGACAAAGAAGCAAGCAGATGAATTAATGTGAAACTGATAATACTGCGTCAAACACAACCCTGTTAGATAGAACACTGATAGAATACCTAGATATTCTGTCCAGAAGGGTACCCCACATCTCAGTTTTATTTGTTTGGTGTCTAATGCCAGTATTAGTACAGTACCCATTCTGGTATGTATGATCTTTTCCCATACTCAGCAGTATCTTTGGTTCATGAATATAGCTTCTCAAATCACAAGTCGGAATCAATACTTTTGAGTCCTTACTTATATTTTTTTTTTGACCGTGATGAAAAAAAAACAAACAAAAAACCACCAAAAACTAAGTATTTTAAGTAAGGAATATTAAAGGTGATGCATGGTGAAGGCATTAATTAATTTGTTATACAAGATGATGGGCCAGATACTGCTCTCCTAATTTAGCCAAAATACTGGCTGCAATGGAAATTTTGTTTCAGTTTCTCCAACAGGATCAGGTACAATATACAGTACTATCCCTTTACATCATTGTAGTAATCACATTGTTTAGAGAAATGATCTCTCTTAGTTCTTTTCAAAGTTAAATTAACTGTCAACAAATGAGATAGAGAATAAAAGGAAAAACAGCTGTGTTTTACCTGTTTTGCCACCTGTTAACTGAAATGCATGAATAAAATGAATAGTTTTGAGGAATCCTTAGATTTCCTGAAAATGGCATATAGAATATTAGCTTCCATTCAAAGATACATGGGTGACTGAGTTTATATAAGCTAAATTACAATTACCCCATACGCAAAATAAAATTATATCAGACTGTGAAGACAAGGAGTTTAAAGCAAGAATGTTTAAAAAGCTTTTAGTACCATAATTCCTGATAGAAACAAGCTTGAACATTAAAAATAACACATCTTTTACTTGAAAATTCATAAGCTGTGCATACATTTGCTACAATTTTTCACAGATATTTCTGAATATTGCTTTTTGACTTTAAAAGCAATGCAGATCCAGTATGATTTTCTTTATGTGAGCAAAGATGTTTTGCTAGAGATGTCTCAGGGCACGCAGCTATCTACAAAACTGTAAAAAGTCCGCAAAACAACCTAGCAGAAGCAGATCTACAATTAACAAACAAATCTGACAAGGCAGTTGCTGGATCTTTACTTATTTTTACATTACAAGCACTTACCTGATGTCTCGTGCAATATGCTATAAAGATATTTCCTAAAAGATTTTGGCAAATGAATTATGTAGCTGAAATGTAATAACGAAGGTAGAAATTTGTCCTGTTATCAGTCACACACATTCAAGCAGAAACCCAGTGCAGCACAGTAGATAGAACTATAAGCTCTGGGATCTTCTCATTCAACCAAGATTGCTTCATACAAAAGTTGACAATACACTACTGAAAGCCATTGTTGATATTCAACATTTTTTAAATAGCTGAACAGAATAGACAATAAGGCATGAAGGAAAACTTGGATAGGAGGCTGGCCTGGAGTCTGGGTTCAGATAGGAAAAAACATTAAAAATGGACAATAAATATGTGATTCTCATTTTTAATTGCTCTGTAAATGGCAATTAACTGATCTTCACCATGCTGAAATTCCACTCCTTTTACAGGAAGAACAAAATACAATCCATATTTTTTTTCATCTATTAAAGTCTAGGTACAGTTTAAAATACTGGCACTGAGACATATGCTTCCATGGTTCACAAACACCATTCGCTAATGTAAATTAAGGAATTTACAAAATCACTGGAAGATCCTCCCATCAATTGTTAGAGACCCATCTGCCCAGGCTGAGATTATACATTTCAATCATTACATCAGAAAAAGGATTCATCTGAAATACTTTTTAAAAATCTGAAAAAATATGTATTTTGTATTATCTCCTACCCCTCTATTTCCTCAATTATAAGAGATCATACCACTATGTCTATTACAGTCCTTGAAGAATTTTACAAAACTTTAGAAACATTGGGGATCATGGTTTATTCAATCAGCTGTTTGTATTGTGTTTGTCTAAGGTCTTGGTGCTATATATAACATTCCCTGTTATACCCTATATAACTCTGAAATCTGAAACACTACAAGCAGATGTGTTCTTTCCTAAAGACACATCTGGAATACATGATGCTTAGCAGCTGCTAAAGGACATGTATGAGTTTAAATTATTTCATATCTAGATATTCCAGCAAAACTTTTTGTACTTTTTACTCCATGGCTCACATGTATGCTTGCCTCTGGTTCGTCTTTGGATTTCATTGTGTTCTGCTTCATCCATGCTGTTTTCAGCCTGTCTCTGTCCATTTTTAATGGAGAACATCGTCAGATTATTTCAAGTCAAACCGAACAGTTAATGATGTATGTCGGCAGAGTAATTTAGCAGGGATTTTTGTTAAAACCTGTTGCACTAACTATAGCTTTAAATTTAGACTGTGAAAGGTGACTGCACTTTACAGTGCATCTTTCTCTTTTGTTTTCAGCTAGTCTTACAAGGTTTACTGCTACAATCTAGCCATTACCTAGGATACTTAGACTTCCTTGAAGAAAGGACATTGCTTGCTTTGTCTATATTATGTCTGAGCTGCTTGTTCCAGGAAAAGTCTGAAAGCCAAGATGTGTCCAACTGGGCACCAAGCCTGCACATTGTCCTCTTTGTCAGTCTGAATTCAGTTTGAAATCGAGTTGCTTACAAATATTGTCTGTTCTGCAGCAAAACCCTTCCAGAACCATCTCATTTGCCACTGGTGTGACTAATGCAAGGACTGATCTACTGATGATTCTGAGCAGACTGCCAGGCAGCAGGGAAGAGTAGGCTTGAGTATGTTTTTAAAGGACCTTCAGCTGTGGTCCTCTTAAAATGCTTTCCCTAAAGGCAAAGACCAGCTGATGAATACTTTGCTCTCCTGCAAAGTCCAATGGACACAACCCTTCAATTATGAGTCACATTCAAAGGTGACAGTCCTAGAAGACATTCCCCATTTTAGCTGTATTTGACAAATTGTCTATCCTGACATGTATTGAATTGAAGACACTTTAGTTCAAAGTCCATTGTATAAACCAGAAGGTTTGCTCAAGAAGGTTTGCACACAGCAGCTGTGAATAGAAGTACTCAAATCACTTTGTCAAGCACAGAATGCCAACAGAAGCACTGAGTGAGAATTACACCTATAGGGCCTTTACATCTCTACAGCTGAAAGTGTCTCATAAACACACCTGCTAGATTTTTGCATGTTAGAATTTTAAAACTAAGAACGCAGAATAGATAAAACTACACTGATCTTTGTAAAGCTAACACATTCTAAACAGTCAAATCCTGCAAGGTGTCCAGACTACCATGAGAAGTGTTTTATAAGTTAAAAAAGAAAAAAAAAAAAGCATTTTTTTTACATCAGAAAGAAATCAAACACAAGCACAGTATGTTTTGCTTTACAACTGGCTTTCAAGTCTAAGTCACACAAAGGTACATATAAATTAATTTAAATTAGTTCCACTGATTTCAATTAACTTATCTCACTGATGTCAGCAGAGATGTTCATGTGCTTGCAACAAGCCTACAGAATTGCCACTTCGAATATGACATCTGTATTGAATACTATTGCCTTTTCCCTTGTTCCTATGAGATTACTATAACAACTTTCAGCAAGAAACCTAAACATAAAATGTCAATATATAATTTATATTATCTTATTACATGCCTTTCTTCCTTCTTGTTACTTAAAATTATTCCTTTTCATGGAGATTTGCGATCTAAACAATTACATAAATATCTAAATTTCTCTGGGGCACTAAACACTAACTGGCTGGGGCAAAAACTGTTTTTGAAATAGTGCTCATATGGAAACTGAGTTCTAAATGCACTATGTGCTACACTCCAAAGGTATGTGAGAAGAAATCAGAATATGAACCTGGGCTCTTTTTCTATCTTAACCAAAGTGATGAATCACAGCACACCTCAGCTTTCGCAAGAGGCAGAATATTTGAATAAGGAAAGGAAACTGCCACTTGTTTTCCAGGTCAGATTCCTCCTGTGTTATTGCATAGATGTTATAGATACATTGTCTGTTTAAAATTTGTCTGTTCTTAAAAGGATATAAAATTCTGTTCTCAAACCCCCAGTGTTTCACACAGTGGAATTCTAAAATTGTCAGTAATAATTCTGTAAATTATGTCTACAAGAAAATTGCAGTTTTATCCTTCTGAAGGAAAGTATTATTTTACTTCATAGTTCAGTGTTCATCTCTGAAAATAACTTACTGGG